TGTACCACTTCAAATGCAGGACGAAATCTTGGAAAAGAAAAAGAAAAAAAAATGTCCTCCTCTTCACTCGAATCCAAGCTACTTTGCTATCTTCATCACTTGAAAATCGATGACATAAGCAGATTTTACCTTACATGTCGAAACATAACAGTCAATAGAGGCCTGATATGGGTTATAAAGAAGATAATGTAATTTTAAAATCCATATTCTTTTGTATAAAATGTCTTAGTGCTAAAAAAAAATCGGATTTATTTCTTTATTCGATACAGGATTTATAAAGCTGAGATTCTTATAAATTAGACTCCATTACCATTTTAATTAAATTCCCCGATAATTCGTTTGATTATAAAAGTATTTCCTAGTTTTTAAAAAAAAACATTAAAAAATGCAGATTCGTCATTCCTTTTTTGCTACTGATCGGGTTACATTTAAATTGAGCAAGCAGAAAATAATAATGATGGATCAATTTCTGATTATAGTAACTTAATTGAGATACTTAACCCTTCATTGTCATTAAAGAATTGATCATGAAATATTATNCTTGAGTTATTTATTGAAGAATAACAGCTTTTTCTACTTACGTCTTTCCAACTATTCATAGATTTTGAAAATAAAAATTAGATTTATATATATATATTTTTTTTATATAAACATTTATCTGAGTAAGCATCCTTTTTTCTCATTTATCGCTGTATATCTACCAGAATAGCAACATCTAGAGAGAACCAAAAAATCAATTTTTCCGTTGTGCGAAAATATCGATTAATTTTGCTATCAACTATCTGCTAAATCAATGCCATAAATATCGACTTAAGAGGGGTGGAGGAGAGTTCAACCTGTAGATATTTCGATACCCATTACGCAACTATAACACTTCACGTTACGTGTTTCTTTGCCATTCAACACAGAAACTTGTCCTTAATCTTTATAAAATAACAAGATTTCGTTAAAGTACTTTTATATATTTAAAAACAACAAATTTAAAGCTGTATCTGCAACAGATGTTTAAACAGTTGCAAAGCCTGTAACTTTCGTTAAGTTAATAAATAAAAACAAAAAGCATTTAAAAATATCTTTAAGGTCGATTATAAAAGATAATCTATTTTTGATTTTATATTCAAACTTTTCGTGGTTATATATATATATATATATANTGGCCCTAGCACAATTAATTCGGAGTTTTTACTGTTTATATATACATACAAGTAGTTTTTTTTTTTATCAGAAATGAAATATTAAAATTAGAAAGTTGAAATTTATAAAAAGCAAAGATATAAAGTGATTAAATAAATGGTAAAAATTGTGTGCGACATTAAAAAAAAATAATAAGAGATAAGTTTGATAAAATCCAGATACTTTACAGATCATAAATATTCTAAGCTTTCATGTTTAAAAGCAATCGATGCGCGACACGAAAACTATAATTTTGACACTAAATTTAAAGAATAAGAATTAACTTTTTGATAACTGCATAATTAATAATCAGGAAATCATTTTTAAAAAAAAAAGAAAGAAAAAGAAAAAAAAAGCAGAACAGAGCTTTCGATTCAGTAAAATTTTATTTTAAATTATCAGTTTATATATCTTTTATATTATACGTATAGAAGATTAAATTATGTTTACTTTACGGTTAAGTGATGAAGGGAGGAGGAAAAATATATAACTCGAAAATATATCTTTTTTTTTTTTTTTAAATTAACTTTAATTTTTCATAAAATTAAAGCGAAGTTTCTATACAAAAATGTTATGAAATTTTCCTAAAAGGAGATTTATCTTACTGGAAAGATAATTTTTCAAAAATGTCAAGAAGCTTGTTCGCCATAAGAAGAGTTTTTTTGTATTTTTCTTTTCTTTTTTCTTCTTTTAGATGCGTTTTCGTACGGTTGCCAAATCGTCTACCTAAACGACAACTTCTAAAATTGCAAGTTCTGAATGGGATTTTTCAACTAAATGGAAGAATCTGAGTTAAACTAAACGATTAGATATGCGTTATAGTCAATAGCTACGGCAGAGCTCTTGCCATTAGCCTATTGCTTGCTTTCCATCTAGCTTGTGATAAAACGATTCCATTACCAAAATGAATGGCAAATAGTCCATTCTGAGGATAATTAATCTATCATAATTTATCGGCGACCACCTCGGAGTAGTTTATTCTCAGATATAAATCTGTACGGATACAGAAATCGACATTTTTGCATCCCTTTTCTATCATGATTAAAGTAAAACTAAACCCTTTGACTTCTAATTATAAGTAATTATCTATAAATTGTCATTAAATGTAAATTTAGGAACCTTTAATAACTATTTAATGATCGTTTAGTAGATTCGTGTGGCATGTCAAACCAGAATAAAGCATTGGGTTGAGGAAAAGAAAATGTTCTACTGGTTAGCCGACTTATAGATTATCTTGGCTCAAAACTTTAATTATTGTAAAATTATTATGTGTTTTAAGATAAGATGTTTAAAAATTAAACATTTGAAAACCAAGTAAAAAAAAAAAATATATCCGCAAAGAATTGGATGCTTCAAGGTATGATACGAACTAATTTCATGCTATTGATTATATTTTACAAGCATTATTTACTTAAAAAACAAAAAAAAACATTTTAATTACCATGCTGAAACTTAAAAAAAATAATAATTAATGAAATATTTTATGGAGGAAAATTACAATTTAATTTTTTGTGATGATCAAATACAGAGAGGCTGTGGGGAATACTAAATTTCCTTTCTTTTTATAAATTTTGTAATTATATATATAATCAATAAAAAACTAAAATCTTTATTAAAAATTAGATTTTTTTTTATTACACTAAAATATAAGCTGCCTAGCATTTTACACACTTAAGATTATTATGTTACTGCCTTTGAAGCGGGTGATTATATAATAAATTATGGACTAAACGTATTAACTAATAAACACACAACTGAATAGTTTATAAATCTAGTTAACTTAGAAATGCCATAATTAGTTAAATTTAATATATATTAGAATCAATATATCAAAATATGAAGTTTTAATTATATCTAAATCGAATTTCAGTGCTATGGCATTAACAAACGAAACATTATGAAAGTTTTTCAAGTTTTTCGAATAGTAATACAAGATTAAGTTAATCGATTATATACAAAATTACGGCTTCCTTCGAATAAACAGCATACTAATTTTAATCGAATGGTTAAAATGAACGGTTTTCGACCTTAAAGTGATATAAAAATAAACCACTTCGCTAAAATATTGCTGAAAAAATAGCTTATACTGCAAAAATACCACGTAAGAGCTCCTTTTCATTAAAAAAACAAACAATCTTTTCTATTAAAAGAAAATGTGTCATATACAAGTTCATTAACTATAAAATCGAAACATAAAAATTAAGCTAGAACCAAAGCATTAGTTTTATTATCAGATTTTTTTACGAGTCGATAAATAACTAACTTCATCACCGAAGGACTAAACAGAGAGAGAGAGAGAAAAAAATACAACCGATGACATTAAAAATATGAGAGAAACACAACAAATGTTATTCATCTGGAAGGGGAAAACCAACCAATGATATATATTTTATTGGAATGATATAGAAAATGATGCAATTTTGATATATAATACAGATTGTTACCGATATTTTACGCTTATTATTGGAAATTCGACCAGTCTTTTGCTGAGAGACATTAGTTCGAAACCTACAACTAAAGCCGGTAGGGAGGGAAGAGAATCATTTTCTGGGACTAGAAAAGAATAAGGGTACAGATCGAACAGTTCGATTCGTTCAAAGTCAACCTAGATATCACTGTCATTGTCCTACCGTCACGAAATTACTTCTACTTTACTACACGACTATTTGTTTATCTCTATTCCGTCCACTCTCGTGGGAGACGTTACCTTTCTAGACTCCAAATGGTCAAAGATCAAATACTTCACTCCATTGAGTGTAGCCTAAGAATAGAGAAAAGCAGAGCAATCGATCACCCTTGCTTATATTTTTGTGTTTTTTTTTTTACGTTCAGTATCGAGTTTTGTTTATGTAAAAAGACAATCTTAGAGCTTCCTTCCCCTGTTCTTATATTCAACTAATAGTTTTAACGTATCGAAAATCTGTTTATCATCCTTTCCTCAACCGTGATTTCGGTTCACGCTTGATAAACATAATAGAAAGATATTTACATAAGAGCGAATCGAATTCGCCAACTGTTTGTGATTATTCATCGAGCGAACTTTGAAAGAGAATTTAAACCATTCAAACTTCATTTAATAATATACTTTAAATCCAGTAAATTATTTGCGCAAACAAATCTATTAATCGTCAGAAATATCCTTAACAATAATACTCTTATAATGTTAACAACCTTTACGCATTGTGCAGAATATATTGTTAACAATGCGGATAGGTTGGATAAAGGAAACTATGCCGAGGACATGTCAGAAGGTTAAAGCTAAAATAATGGAAAGGAAAGGGGAAAAGTAAGATTAAAAAAAATAAAAAAAAAAGTATATATAGGCAGATGAAGGGCAACAGTCGTTCGCTTATGTCTTATGAAAATTGAATACTCGAACTAAACACGACTTCAATACATCCATTGAGGCTGAACAAACATAAGTACAAAAGATTCAGACGAAACCACTTCAGCCTTACGCTCTCCACTTGCAGATAAATTACTCGTCGCTTCAAGGACTAGCAACTTGGATAAATAACCCCTAAGAAATTCATAATTTTTTTACGTAGAAAGTTTTATAAAAAGGAAAAAAAAACCTTTTTTTTTAAAAAAAAAATAATAATTAATCTGGACGAAAAAAACGGATTAAAAGTAAAGCGTAAACATTAAAAATTTTAATTGACTTCAAGGTTAATTTTAGGAACTAGTTTACGGATGGATATTGTTACGAACGAGTTTATAAATTATATTACGTCACAGAATTCTGTTATAAATTGTAAATAAATAATCGTTTACGAAATTTTCTGTGTAATATCATCGGATGGGTTAAATTGAGAGATTCGTCTTACCTTTACGACACTTTTAGAGGTTGAGAGTTATCTAATCCCCGTGGAGTGTTCTCATAACCGAACCCGACGTCGAATCATATCTTAATGGTGAATAAATACATGCTGTTGTAATAAATGATGCATTCAGCTGATCGTCTGGTCTTCACGTGCATGCAAACGACCCCCGACTCGTCTTTATAAAGCGGGGTGTTTCGGTCGATGGTGGCGCGCTCTGGTGGCAAGGCAGAGAAACATGTCCGATAATGCTGACCGAGGGATTGATAATGCACTTGACAATCCTTCGCCATTCTGCATATTTATACGATTTTATATTATTTTTCTTTCAATATCCCAGATGCAGAAGACGTTCATCGATCAGAAAGTGACAAGATATAGAAAAAGACAAGATAGGAAAGTTAGGAGGGAGAGAGGAAAGAAGGAGGTAAAAGAGGAGGAGGA